TGACAGAGCATAAGAGGATGAAGAGAGTTTAATTACATCTCCCGTCATCCCTGGCTAGTGCGGGTTGTGACCTTGGAACTGATGGATTTGAAAATTTGGGAGCTCCAAGCCAAGGTGGAAAAGAGATGTCAGCTCCTGTTCAAGGTCTTTCGTTATGAGATGAGGTGTTGGTTGCAGACCTACCTCTAAACTTTCGAGAGACGAGCATGATTTACAATGGATCAACGGACCTAACCCAATATCTTTGAGGTTTCGAGAACATAGCAATCTTGCATCGATATAACAATACGATTTTGTGTAGAGTGTTTCTAAAAAACCTAAAGAGCCTTGCACAAGATTGTTTTTGTCCACTACCGACCGGATCAACCCACAATTTTGAGGTTTTATGCTTATTCAACACTAAGTTCCCCATCGCGTGGAAACGTGAGAAAATGTACTTGACATTAATCAATATGTAATACATAAAGGTCAGTTAGGTTGTACTTCACGTTATACATGAGATTGTGTATAAAGGTTCCATCAGCATCGGAGGAGATAAAGGTTGTAGGCTGACAAGAGGTCTCTGACCTAGGCGTTGTAGAAATTCACTAGCCAAAAGATCGGATATGTTTGATGATGACCTGTTGAAATGTTGCTCTAAATACATCAACATGAAGGAAACGGAGGCTGACTTCCTACAAAATGATTGAGTCAAAGGAAAATTCCCATATGAGAATTTTAATTTCTTTTTCATACGACATCCACATGTTAAGATAGGCTTTAATTATTTTGTTAAGATATCTTTGGTTTGATATGATCTTGATTTGGTAGTAGTTATTTTGGTAATTAGATATTTGATTTGATCTTGATTTGTTTTAGATCTCTTGCAACCTCTATATATTGGATTTAATCTTACTATTACAAGGAATGGAAAATACACATTTTTCTCTTCCCTACTCTATGCGTTCTCTCCTAGTTTTAGCAACCCTCTAAAATCTTGAATATAAGTGTCAAAAACAACAAAAGTATTATAAGATTTTGATGTTATTATTTTAGAAAATAAAATTTGTTGCACTCATATAATTATTATTCTATCTTATCTTATTTTTCGTAATTATATAATAATATCTTTCTTAAATAATATGTACATAGACAAATTCAAAATAAAAGGAATAAACAATAATTTACGTACAATAAAGGATTGTAGAGGAAATATGAATTCAAATTAACTATTCTCAATCATAGATTTAACTATTGGACTGAATCTACCGATCGGACCAGTAGAACCGAGAAACGGTCCAGTTTTGTTGAAAAACGTTTGTTGCACAAGAACCGGTTTACAACCGGTTTTTGACAAGTCAAGCCAGTCAAAGACAGCCTGTCGGATTGGTTCTTACTTTTATTTTTTTATTAATTTCTTATAACATAAGTTTTAATATTTTCAAATATATTTTTCCAATAAATAAAATGCATATTTAAATATTTTTTATATGTATAAATTATTATATCAATTAGATAAGACAATTGAATCTTTTAAATTATCAATAATTTCATTAAAAGATTTTTATACACAAAATTTAATACTAAAAGTATTATATATATTTAATATATTAAATATCTGTCCAACCGATTTAACCATGGATTTAATTGCTTGACCAATTCTGGTCTAGTTTCAGAACCTTGTAGTCTACTTGGAGTAGATGGTCTTTAATTGGCATATTAAGAAAGCATAACGATATCTTCACATTATTTATTTATTATCAACTATTGATCACAATAAAGTCCATTCTTCATGTGAATAGTGTGGCATAATGCACATGAAACGATTTCACATAATAAAATTCTCACTTGTAATACACAAAATTTACCCACTTTTATTTTGGTATCCAACTTTCTCTAAAATCGTTAGTGATCATATTTCTCTTGAAATTACATGTAGCATGATTCTTGATGTTCCCAACTTTCAGCTTATGATAGTTCAATTATAAATATTTAGATTAATTGGTTTGTTTTAACATTTTGAACTGCTGTTGAAAAAAAAAAAAAAATAAAAGTTGATAGAATTTGGAATCAGTTTACCAAGGGTGTCCCGTGAATAAATTGCAACATAAGTAATTTATCACTTTGCGGTCACTAAAATGTTGTAGCCTGACGGTTCTTTTCTCTGTTTTTCTCTGTTATTAATTACAGCCATCCCCTGCATAACACCACCCTTATTTATTTGCTGAGTAGCTTTGTCTTCTCTGTTTTACCATGAACTATGCCAAAAATACAAATATAACTAAAAGCCGAAAAATCATTGTATTCACATGCATCATTCTTATTTTCAGTGCAAGTTTTAAAGACTAGTTTACTCACCTACAACTGCTTCTTAATTACATATACAAGCAATCACACCATTATTGGTACTAGGATTGCATAAAACACAAGCATGCTTTTTTACAAGTACAAGGGCATGCACTCGTGCTTGAGCCTATATACGTATAAATACGAAAAAAAAAAAAAAAAAAAANAAAAAAAAAAAAAAAAAAAAGTTCTTAATAAAACATAGAGCCAGAGGTCCTGTTTGAATTGTCCTTAATGGACACCCCACGAAAATCCACCACCTCGAACTTGTTCAACCTTGTCTCGTTTTCGGAAAGTGGCTTTACATGATAAACATGAGCTTGTTGAGGCTTATACTGATACAAACAAGGTTGTCTTGCTTCAACTGTTGGCCTTTGAGGAGCATACAGTTTCTTGGCTGCAAAAACTCGGCCTCCCTTCTTCTCCAAATGTTCCTCTATTATTCCGAATCCATCCCTGCCGATCCTGATAAGGTCGTCTTTGTATCCCATTTTTTTCACCTTCTTTTTTTTTTTATTATTATTATTATTATTAGTTTGGTATATTATGCGATGAACCAGTGTATACAGATGTAAGAAAGAGTAGTTTTTGTTGATTGAGTATTTTTTAGCAAACATGCAACCCCTTATATAGAAAGCTCACTCTCAAGTTATGTGTTAAAAGTGAAATATCATTAAAAAAGAATCCGATTATGGCTTCACTAGCTTCCCGACAAGTGGCGATTCCTTTTGGATAGATATCATGTTGTCCCTTTCTTGTGAGAAGTGTTTGTGAACATTTTCAAGTACACCACAGTTAGTTTTTTTATCATATCTTGTAAAGTCGTTATGTGAATATTAATGTTCACGTACACCACAGTTAGTTTTTTTATCATATCTTGTAAAGTCGTTATGTGAATATTTGATAGGATGTAATTAGGGAAATTCCTTATCTTGTAATTAGGTGTTTTCCATCTTATCTTGTGTTTGGTGGAGATTTTTTTCTTTTTTTAGGAAAACACCCGACGACGGTGGGGGTTAGGCCAGACCCACAACCTGTATATATAAAAAGGTCCTAAATGTGCTGAAAAATTACAAATCTATAAGTCCAATGTCTGAAATACATCAAATCTAATGAAAAGAAAAACTAGAAACGAGAAAGAAAACAAGAAAAGGATGGCAACAGCTGCCAGTAACACAAAGATAGCTCTCTTGGTCCGGAAGGAGTCCAGGAAAAAAGTCAGCGTCCCGGGAGAGTGATGACAGCGACAAAGATATCGAAGTGTGGCCCTAATACGCATGAGCGGATGCTGAATCTGCCATGTGCACTGCTGGCCAGAGGTCAAGAGAGTGATGACAGCGGCAACATCTAACTATCCAAATGTGAGAGTTGATCGAGGCAGCAATCTGAAGACCAATCTGAAACGCCAGAACCTCCGCGTCGTAGCTCGAGGAAGCCCGAAGAGGGGCATGGAAAGCGGTGATAAGAGTACTACTATGGTCCCTAATCAGACCCCCACTTCCGGCGGCTCCGGTAAGTCGGTCAAAGAATCCGTCAGTGTTTAGCTTAACCCAAGGAGACTCGGGTCTCAGTCTAACAACAGCTTTGGGGCGTGGATGCTGGATAGGCGGCTGTGGAGGTGGTGCAAAATGATGAGGTGGCGTGCAACCTGTCCAGTCTCTCTGTGTGAGTCTGCCCAGAGCGGTGAGGAGAGATAGATGTCTGTCAACCTGCAAAATAATATGTGAACACAAAAAGGTAATATCCCTATGCTTCGCATTATTTCTTTCTGTCCAGGTAGACCAAAGGATCAGACAAGGAATAAGAAAGCCCACATGCCTATCGTGTGTGCTCTGTATGAAAAAACTCAGAAGCTCAAAGAAGTTATCTATGGTGGGTAGGGGTATATGTGTATAGCTATAATAATGCTCCCACACTCTCCTCACAATCTCGCTCTCAAGAAACAAATGGCTAAAGGTTTCAGTCTGAAAAACGCCGGTCTCAGCACAGCAATAGCAACGTGAGGGGAAGGAGAACCCCCTCGCCTGCATCACAGTATCAATCGGTAGGCGCAAGAGAAGGCGCCAAAGGAAAATAGAGATGGTCGGGGTAAGTAGGTCAGTCCAGATGGCTCCGAAGAGAAGGTTAGGTCAGTTACCCAGCCGTTACTCCCCCCCAAGCCGAGGTCGTAGAGAATACACCTCATACCGTCCAAACCATCCTATAAGATGGGTATCTGCTGAATCTGATCGATCACCTGGTCACTAAAGCCTGCTCCAGTACCCAGAACCCTCTCTAACCTATCCCTGTCCCAACCCCCTTCAGTCAACAGGTCCTTCACCTGCAGAAAGGGAATGTGGGTGACATGTCTATTATTGAACTCCCAATTTACCTGCGAATTACAATTAACTTGTTTCTAAATTTATTGCTCGATTTATATTCCTGTATTTATGATTTAACGTTTGTTGATTAATTTGAATTACTGACAATAAAATTAATCAACTTATCGAATCCAAAACTAGTACCACTCAATTCTTTTTTATTATGTAGAAAATTAATCCGCTGGCCGGACATGACAAAATAATCATTCTTGAGCTTATTTCGGGGACGTCATCAACCTGGGTTTTTTCGGAATATGGTGATCGTAAGCAATATTGACAGCACATCATGTAGCCGACATTACTTACTAAATATCGAGTATGTTGACCTTCCAGAATAAGTCTCAACCATGATAAATCAAATAAGTAATTGCTGACGACATATGCCCGTACATTTTCTTACAGATTAAGAATACGCAACAAAAATTGAGGTCTAAATTATTTACTTAGTCTGTATAAAATAATCTCATCCTCTTGTTGGTCCATTCAATACATTTAAGATATACTAGTGTAATTCATTAGTCTAAGATCAGCTAATTCCAAGATTCACACTACAGTCTTTCACAGCAGGAAGTTCAATTACCCGTAACTATATCATATACAATGTAAAACAAAGAAACAATGTTTGTATAAATAAACTAACTACGAATAACCACTTCACTAAAAATATACATCTCATTTAAAATTGAATTATTGAGTAACACAAAACTGAACTTTCACAGTATACTCCAACAGATTCTTCTTTGACACAAAGACTTGTTCCTGCCTCATCCACCTATTCGCTAAGTATTTTAGATTGAAATTTGCAATTTTCAATTTTAGCGTGAATTAAAAACATTTTAGTTCATAGGAATTGTAATTTCCAAACAATGTTTAGTTTTGTTTTGTTTATATTATTTATAAATATTTTTGGTATAATAATCGATCAAATGAAACTATATATGTTTTCTAAAAGGCAAGAAAAATCAGTTTCTAGTTTTACTCGGAAAAATTCGTTATGCAGGTTGTTGGCTTGTTTTATTTTAACTAGTAGTACATGTGCGATGCACGTGGTGGCGAATGTTTTTTCCCAATTAAGTATAGTAAAATAAATTAATTAATTTATTCAAAATATCGTTGCAAGAATGAAATAAAACGTAGAACAAATGAGCTCATAATGTAATCGTTTTTTGCCGATTAAGTTTTGTAAAATAAATAAATTAATTTATTAAATATATCCTTGCAAGAATGAAACAAAATGTAGAACAAATTAATGAAACAAAATATAGAAACAAATTATTTTTTCTAAAATAACTTAACGATGTCCTAATATAAAAATAATTAAATAACATATTACAACCCCAACAGAAACACTAAATAACTAAATAATGACTAATATATATTATACATGCATTAGTTCTTTTATTTGTTTATGTTAGATGATTCGATAGCGTTCTCTTTCATTTTGGTTTTGACGTCCTCATAAGAAGCATTATTGATTCAATAGTATTGCAAAATTCATCTTAATTCATTTGGCAAAACGTCTACTTTATTCAAACACTTAAGAAATATTCTAACCAAATATATAGTGAAACTTCATGGTTGTATTATCTTTATATTTCTACTAACCATGCATGAATATATCTGCAAAATAATAAATCGTGTCATTAAAATTATTGATTATTTTTTATCATTGTATAAACTATTAAATTACTCTCTCTATATATATCGACGAATTATTGATACCTAGCCCCTACGGAAGGGAATGAATTTCATCTCTAAATAAAAGTTGATTATTCAAAATATCTATTACATGTACTTTTCCGGAGGTTTTTTTTTTAAAATCATCACACATTAACTAAAAGTTCATACTATAAAATAATTGCACATATGTTCAAGAACAATACACCAATGAAATTATAAATATTCCTATAAGAAGTGTCAACTTCATTCAAACATTCAAAAATATTTTGATCAGGCTCCAACGTTTCATTTTCAATGTCATTTATTTGGAAGATAGACGAATTATATAATCTATTGTTTGCAAATCATTAACCATCTAGTTCTTGCAATGATTTTAGAATCATTTATCTTCATATCTTTCACATTCGTTTGGATTTGTAATATTTATGTGTCCAATAACTTTTTAATGCTTTTATCGTCCAACTTTATGCATCATACATAATACTCAAAAAAACTCGAGATAAAGTTCCTTTCTTGATTCTTCACCAATGACAAAATCAAACAAAACAAAACAATGAGACAACATAGAAAAGCATATCATTTGTTAAAATATTTGAGATGAGAAGAATTAAAATTCTATTTTATGACTCTTAGTCATCTTTGAACGTTATTATTACGAAATCATTATTAAAATCTACATTATGTATTATAAAGTTTTAAATTTTTAATTATTTAAAATTAAAAATTGATAATATAGGATCATTATTTATGAGATCCAATTTCTTACAGAGTCTATATATTTAAACGCTAGCAACAAATAAAGTATTATTTTTAAAAGATTTTTTGTTTCTAAATATTGGTATTCATACTTGTCTAAGAAAATTCAGACGTTTTCTTTTTTCAATTCCTATACTATTATTTTATTAGTTTTTATTTCTTTTGATAAATAATACTTTATTTATTAAAAGAATTCTAGCACATTTATATGTATTGCATCATTTTTTGTACGTGTTTCATATAATGACGTTGTTATCAAAATATCTTATTTATTAGACAACAACTAATATAATCACATAAGATAAGATAAAATTTAATATTAATTATTTATATATTTATAAAATAATATATTTAATAAATAAATGTACTTATATACTGATTATTAGATTAAAAGGTTTAGAATTTTTTCCCAATGTTTGATAAAAATATTAAGCAACTCATTTTCATACTCATTATATTTATGTGTTAGTTGAATAAAATTTCACATACAACTCGTTTATTTCTCCTTTTAATTCACATAGTTAATATTGGTGATAGTTGTATATTTACATCCATTTTTTGTTTTTTCTTAGTATGAATTTTCGGATCTATGTAAGAAAAATATGTCAAAAGGAATCTAATTCTAGCAAAAATATTTTATTGGAATCATGAGCAGATCTATGTTTATTTTATAGATCCGACACAACCCTCCATCC